CCCATGAGCTCAGGCAATCCTCTCACCTCAGCCTCCCAAAGTGCTGGGATTATAGGCATGAGTCACTGTGTCCGGCCAATGTGAAGTTTTAAACCGAAGGTTTTAGAGAGAAGGGAGAGAAAATAGAACAGAAAAGAGTTGTTGCTTGAGAAGACTAGAGGGTAAGCCAAACTTCAAGTACAGCAGGAAAATGAAGGCTACACTCAGAGAACAGGCTAAGAATTTATGGGATTTAGTTGAAGACTGACCAAGATTTCCAGACGGTATAAAAAAGAGTCTTTAGAGATAGCAAGGGTAGTACTTAGGACCCATGCTACCTTTGTCCACATTATCACCTCAACTGATGCCAATGACATAACCTCTGCTTTGCTCTCAGCTTCATCATCTGTGAAATGGGGACAATCATAGTATATAACTCAGTGTTTACTGAAAAGATTATGTTCAACAATACAAGGAAGGCATTTAGAAAAACCTTAAAACTATGCACCTAGTACATCGTCTGCATTTGAAAAATGTTACCTTATTGCTACAGTATATTTTCTCTCCTGCATCATCTTATTAGAGTCTTTGAAAAAATCTCTTATTTTTACTTAACATTTCAATGATACGAAAAGACTTTAAATCCTAAGATTATAAAATCTAAAGAGAGACTATCTTGTACTTGTCTGAGTCCTCTACTAGGTTCAAGGTCCGAACAATGACAGAACCAAGCAGCAGTTCATGAACTAACACCATCTGTGTGACCTCTAGGTGTCGCTGGTACCCTCCATCTTCTAGATTCAGATGTCAAAGGGTATTACTAATCTTTTTGGAAAAAGAAGAGGTACAGTACAGGATAAGCAGAAAGGGAAGATAATGGCTCATGAATCTCAAACCAACATTAATCCCTACTCTATTGACTCTCAGGAAATTGACTATAAACATGAGAACAAAGCCAAGCACGGCATGGTGGATCAGGATGGTAATCCAAGCACTTTGGGAGGCTGAGGCAAGAGGATTGCCTGAGTCCAGGGGATGGAGACCAGACTGGGCAACTTAGCGAGACTTGTCTCTACAATAAATATAAAAAATAGCTGGGCATGGTGGCTCGCTCCTGTGGTTCCAGCTCCTTGGAAGGCTGAGATAGAAGGATCACTTGACTCCAGCAGGTCGAGGCTGTGGAGGGTGTGAGTGTGCCACTGCACTGCAGCCTGGGTGACAGAGTAAGACTCCTACTCAAAAAAAAAAAAAAAAAAGAGAGAGAGAGAGAACATATTCAATCTCCTTTCAGCAGATTTTGGTGTAAAGTTATACAAAAGCCTTTTTCACAACATAAATGAACAAATTTTCTCAAAGAAAAGGACTGAGATAAAAGAGATTCCGAGCCTTATGAGATAATAGATCAAATGGTCATTTAAAATAAAGAAACCGGGCCAGGCTTGGAGGCTCAGCCTGTAATCCCAGCACTTTGGGAGGCTGAGGTGAGTGGACTGCCTGAGCCTGTGGGTTCGAGACCCGCCTGGCCAAATTGGCAAGCTCTTGTCTTTACAATAAATCAAAAATTAGCTGGGTGTGGTAGTATCTGCCTGTAGTTCCGGCTACTTGGAAGGCTGAGGCGGAAGGATCACCAGTGCCCAGCAGGTCAACGCTGGAGTAGCCGTGAGCGTGCATGCCACTG